CAGAATAATCGAGAGCTTGCTTGGCAGCAAATAAATAATATAACCAGGGATGGTTCGTAGGCGGGAACTAGTGGCCCCCCTGTGAGAGGTACGCACGAGGGGGCCACCACTCGCGTAATCCTGTGTACAGATGAGGGTGTAATCCCTACGTAATCCTTATGTATTCCGTGTAAGCCTTGACCAAATTTTGAAACATTATCACACTGGTAAAACAAGTGTGCAATATTTGCACACCAACGTGTGCAAAGTTGTGATTTTGCACATTACATGGTGTTTAACTCAAGTTGCACACTTGCGTGGTGTGCAAATTTTAGACGTTTTGTAAACGTTTAAATTCTGCACACTTGGGCACACACAGTTGTATGCTGTCAATAGGGAACCATACGGTGTACAGCTGCTACACGTTTCGGAAGTGTCGAAATTTTAAACACCAATTGACGTATAACAAAGTTAGACACCACAAAGTATCGAGAAAATGCACACTTGAACTTAAACGTCAATTGACGTGCAAAATTAAACACTTGTTTTACCAGTGCACTAAATTTTACCCTTTTGTCCAAATTTGATGGTCTTAGAGCTTCAAATTCAACAAAATTCAAGTGTAATCACTAAAATTCCGCGTGTAATCCCTGAAATCACGTAATCCTGTGTACAACCTCAATCAATGTGGTGGCCCCCTCGGGTACGCAGAGCTGGCCGCGGCTGGTGTTCCATGGGGCTGGAGACACCCTGTGCGAGACTAGGACTAGTAGAAAGCGCGCGGCAGCTCTGCGCACGGTTGTCGTTGTTAGCAACAGATTTTTTTAACTCAGAGCCGGCGAGTAATATAATTTATGAGCTCCTGCAAGCGTAACACTTAAAATGAGTCATGTCTCGCGGCGGTTCGAAGAGAATTGTGCGAGAAATTAATATATGAAAACTCGAGGTGGTGCGCGGAGTTTAATATGGCCGCTCCTAGCCTCGCACAGGGTGATTTTGGGGTATGGCTGCGCCCGTGGAACACCACAGCGCTGTGATTGGCTGCCGCTTGACTGCTCTGCTTACCTCTCACAGCCTCTCACAGGAGGGCCATTAGCAGGAACATTTCTGATAGGTAAACAACAGCAACAGGGAAGAGTAACATAGTCGAGGCGGTACACCGATACTTTCAAATGAATACCGCAAAAAGGACAAAAAGCGTGATTTTTGGTGTAGGGGTCCTTTAGACCCTACTCTTTGATTTGACCCGCAGCACACTCATTTTGGACCCATAGGAGCCGAAATTTTAACGCAAATGTTCAAAAAATGTTCAAAAATACGAAAATTTCAAAATTGTCGAAGAGAGGCCATATCAGACACTTTTTCGGAAGATTTCGACGTGAAAAAGCGAATGGAGCAAACCCCGAGTTCGTACGACCTCTCATTTAGGCCCTAGAGGCCGCCATTTTGGAAAAAAGGGCCTAAATCCTTATAGAAGGCTTTTTACCGTAATACCCCGTGTTGGGTGTCGTTTTCGCATATAACAGCATCTCAGAGTCCGAATTCAAGGTCCATTAAACAATTTTGACCACCTGGAACAATTTTGAA